CGCCATCAATCCGAACGTACCTGGAATCTGGTGGGAGGATGTGGCCTTTAAAGTTTTGTGATGTGGTCTGCTATGACCACTGGGCCCAGGTCACGGCAATGGTTTTGGGGCTTTGGTTTAGGCTGGAACTTAAGCTAGCTTGGGGCCTTTGGTGCATGACCGGCGCAGGCATGTAGCACCGCTTCCGGCTTTGCACAAACATAGACCCTAATCAACCTCTAGATAAGGCGCCCTTAAGCTGAAGCAAGCCACAAGGCTTTCGGCTACCCGCCTGGATCGGAAGTGTTTCGTCTTCAACGCACTCTCACTGCCTTCCATGGAAGGACCTTCCTTCACCTTCGGTTTTGGGGTTGCCTTCCTCTTTCTGCCCTGCACTCTAAACCACGACCCGATTTGAAACCTAAATCCCCTGAAACCTTCCTTCTTGGAGGGCCTTCCTTGGGGCATGGTGGGCACTTGTTGCTGCAGCATTATGTCTTCGATAGCCTCTGAAAGTGGTTTGCGAGGGGATGCCCTGAAGCCCCTGCATCAACATATCGGATCTGCGCAGTCCCTCCTCGACTTGCTTGACAGTTGGTTCGTGCCCAACTCTTTACGTGCTCTGAGTGACCATTTCAGGTCGCTTCCTTTTGATATGTGTTACTGCGCCATACGAGAGCGGAGGCTCCCGGTTGGAGCCAGGTGCCTGCGGCCAATCTTCCGGCACATCTTCTCGATCGTGTCGAGCATCACCATATGGTGACCTAGGCATGGTGCGTTCAAGCCCCAAGCCGCCAGCTGATATCACAAGTGTCTGCTGCGATTGTACTATCCTACCGGTACTTCCACTGCTGCTGTTACCACAACCCACGGCCCGTGTTAGGAAACTATGAACAACGGCTGGACTACCCAGACAAGCCTTCTGGCCAGCCCGACAGAAACCCAAGCGGCTTGGGGAAATGGTCTGGGAGATTTGCGCAGCCCTGAGGTCCCGAATCCTGGGGCGGCAGCCGAAGACTACGATCTTGCGATCAGTATCGGAGCGTTCCAGGATGCTCTGCACCTGTACGGTCTAGGGCTTAACGTAGAGACCTGGACGCACGACACCCTTGGTTGGGCCTCTTTCAAGTTTCTGTGAAAGCATAGCGGGCTCCATGTTCGAGTCGGCGGAAGGGCTTCGCGGTTCATCGCGGGAATATTGCGCCAGGGTTTGCAAGGTCTTGTCAGGGCTCTCCCACCCTGAGCTCTTACCCTGTTGAGCCCTGCATCCTCAGCTGAAACCTAGATCATTGCCCTGCAACCTCAAGTCTAAACCGTATGGATTTGGCTTCGCTGCCAACAACACAGGAGGAGAGCAGGTAGACGTTTGACAGAGATGTACAGAATTTTTACCAAAAGAAGCCATGCAACCCTGTAAAAGAGCACGAAGTCGACGTGAACAGCAGACAGCATTTCCAAAAACAGATATAGTAATACGCCAAGACGCTATGGATAATAACCAAAAGACACAGGCCGACACAGAACGCACGAATACCAAGCCCATCAAACTAACGAAGCACCCAGCAATTACGCACGGTAAGAAGCCAATATACCAACATGGGAGCAGAACGAACACGGCAACAGAAGCACTTCGAAAGTAACAACTATAGGAAAGCACCGATTCTAGAATCAAGCAATTGTACAGAACATAATCTTTCCAGTGAAGCACGGCTGCGTCTAGGGTAGCACACAAAGCCCGCCGAAACAGAAAACCCCAACCCCCAACACTTGCAGCATGGCGCCCTGAACACTCAATTCCGAGAGCTACTCCCTACAACATGCCTGCCTGCCCTAACCGTAAACTCGAAACCCTTGATTAAGGGATCCGCCACATTTAACTTACGACACTCTGAGTCCGCGGCATACTCAGTGACGGGTCCGGCCTTCGCCTGGCTTTCTTTCAGCGACTTGGATCAGGGCCCGCGGCGTACTTCGATTTGAGCTTATGGGGTCTGGTGTCCGTTAAGCTTTGGAGTTCAGGGGGAAGAGTTCATGGTCAAGAAATGCTGTCGAAGCCAGCTCCAGCTGAAAAGCCGGCCTGCTACCGTTCCTTTCGAAACTATCCCTGCCTCAAAGCCGCAAGCGCAAGCCCTAAACCTTTCACCCTCGTCTGTAGGTTCTCAATTCCCGCTGCTCTCCGCTTCTTTCCCCCGCCCAAGAAAGGGGGCCTTGGCGGTCATGGCAAAGACTTGCGCAGGCCAGGATCGCTTCATTTTCGAGCTTTGGGACTTGGCGATCCTGATTTTCTTGGCCTCGGAGAGCTTGAGAGGTAGGGCAGCAGTCCCAGTATCTTTGGGCTGATTAAGGGCTTATTGCTGAGATCGCTGCTTACAATGTCGCTAGAGCGAAGGACTTGCGGAGGTTTGTGAGTTGTGAACGACACCCTTCAAAGACAATCCCGCTGGATTTCGAAGCGCACTTGCAAGAACCTTGGTCGTCACAACGGAAATGCAACTGTTGAAACCAACAGCTGCAATTCATGACACTGGGAACCGCCACCTGCCATCTTTATCGTCGACATCGTCTTCGTAATTAGCCGTCACCGCTGTTGACATCGGCAGCGGCATATCAACATCCATGTCACGACCACCACTCTGACCACCACAGGCTCCATTACCATCGTCCTAATGGTCATCGTTTCTTACACGATGAGTACCATCGCCATGATAGTGGCTGGTCATCACCATCAGCACCCCCACCACCATCCCCACCACTATCAGCTTCGGCAGTGTCGAATGGCATCACCGTAACTGCTACAAGCACCATGGCTCCACCATGGATATCAGCACAAGCGGATTACAGCACCGACGAATTTCCAGCAATGGACAGCGAAAGCAGATTCCTTTGCGTTGAAGACTATACACTCACCTTTGCACATAATTGCGGCTTGTGCACAGAACTGGCTTGCGAAGTGTCTCGTTGCTACTGTGCTGTCTGTAGTCCCATAGACTTTCTGCTGCGTCTTTCTCGCTGTTGCTGTACTTGCTACTGGTAGTTCTTGACTGGATATTTTTGGAACTCCCCAATGTACTCCGCAGGAAACAGTCAACCTGTCGCTGTAGCATACGTATGACAATGCCAGCAATGCACCAAGCAACATCAGCCACTACGGCCACAAAGACTTGGCACTGTGAACCCGGCCATGATTTGTTGCTTCCACTTCCCATCGATGGCTTCACCTGAGGCAGGCAGGGCCGGCTCAAGGCCTAGAGTTAAGAACACTTGAGGGAGAGCTGACTTTCGACGCAGAGAGCGGCTAGCTGACCTGTCCCTGTCAGCTCAGGGTCTTCCATAGTGGGGGACTACTAGCGATATCAGATTTGTTTCTGTTTCTGCGACTCGTGTTGCTCGAAGCGGGGCTCTGTTGCTGACGAACAAACGCCGGCTCACGGAGCAAGTTCGCTGAATCCAGTCGGCAAGGCTTTATGATCAGCTTTGTTTTGTTCTACTGCCGAATGACTTGCTGCAAAAAAAATAAGTATTAGAAGTAGTAGAAGTAGTAGTAGTAGTAGTAGTAGTAGTAGTAGTAGTAGGAGTAGTAGTAGTAGTAGTAGTACTAGTAGGAATAGTAGGAATAGTCATAGTAGTAGTAGTAGTAGTAGTAGTAGTGGTAGTGGTAGTGCTAGTGGTAGTGGTAGTGGTAGTGGTAGTGGTAGTGATAGTGGTTGTGGTAGTGGTAGTGGTAGTGGTAGTGGTAGTGGTAGTGGTAGTGGTAGTGGTAGTGGTAGTGGTAGTGGTAGTAGTAGTAACAGCAGCAGGAGTATGCTAGTGCTACATTCTGAGGTGCCAGGCTGAAATCGATCTTGAACTTCTTCTTCGCGGTCTCAGTACAGGACTTAAGTTTTGTGTTTAGGGTGTAGGCTCCTCAGCAAGTCTATCCTGCCCATTCGTGCAGCGTTGCGGCTTCAATAGCCTCCGAACTTGAAACATGTCATGCTTCATTCATGCTCTTCGCGCCGAGCTGCACACCTGCAGGAGGCTAGGAACTGGATCCGCGAGCCCAACGAGATGAACAAACCGCTCAGGGACCGCATGGCTAGTGTTCCTGAAACTCCCATCTTCCGAAATGGCCGCGACAAGGGAGAGTTGCTTTCACGTCCGACCCCGCGCCCCCCGAAGGCATGGGGTGTAAATGCGGGCTTTGGAACCTCTAGGCTCTTGTTTTAGTTTCAGGGGTTGGTTCTGAACCCAAACATAGCACCTATCTGCCATACATGTCACGACCCACAAACGCCCACTGATGCCGTCTTCCAGACATCGGGGCCCGGACCAAATTGGTCAGAACTTCCTGATTTCGAGGAATCGAAGTCTTCGGATGGGGCAAACGAAAGTGTGTAGTGGTAGTGGTAGTGGTAGTGGTAGTGGTAGTGGTAGTGGTAGTGGTAGTGGTAGTGGTAGTGGTAGTGGTAGTGGTCATGGTAGTGGTGGTGGTACTGGTAGTGGT